AGTGAAGCTTTCGGGCGTTTTGGAGCCATGTTTGTGCGTCTCCATGACATCTTCGCCGTCAGAGCCATGTAAAATGCAGACCATCAACCTTGGTAAGGATGACAAGCAGAAGGCAGTAATGGTCTGCACGGGCGTCCATCTGTGGCCGATGCAACAAAAGCCGTCTCCATTGTCCTGGTCTTCACCACTAGCCACCACCACCATCAAAGTAAGCAGCATCCTCGTCATCACCGGCGTCGCCATCATAGCAAGTAGGGTCACCACCACTGTCACTTCTGGAGTCACCACTACCATCAGCATCATCTGCATCATTCGCATCGCAACAAGCACCACCAGCATCATCATCATCATCACCATCGTCATCGCCAGCGTCAGCCTCAGGACAGCACCAGCATCACCACGGGTCCGCCAAGCACAGCACAACCGAGCATTTATGCTCCACTGGGCGACAGATCCATGAGCTTCAATCTGAAATTACGAAGTGCGTAGCCATGTCCTGATGCAAGCAATCCTTGCACTGATCAACCACACTGAGTACTGAGACAGTCTTACGTCAGGAAGAGTCTCAGCAATGCCACCTGCAGCACGTTTTTTGAGGTCTGACAGGCGGAATTCGTTTCCGTAGTTCCAGACGGGGTCGGAGGATGGACCCGCTCCGAACGTGGACATGAGTCTGTCTGACTTTGACGTCGTGCTTGGAGAAACCACAGCGGTCCAACACCGCTGGCGCTAGCGAGAGTCTGACCGGGCAGTGTGCGGAGCAATTCTTGGATCTGAGTCACCAGCCGAACTACTTTGAGAAGCCTCAACCGCTATGACTCGTTACCTCGCACCTCGCTTGCCATAAGCACCAAGGCTTCGGCCGGGCCATACCTTTCCCGTTTGCAAAAACGTAGTGCAGCACTGCATATCGTGCTTGGAACATCAACATGCTGGAGCGACGTCGGTTCCTCGTGGCGGCATGCTTTACGAGGCATGCTATCGGCTTGGGAGACCCTGACAGCACATCTGCATGCAAGCATAACGCTGGCCTTGCAGTTCACAGGTATGCCGAGAGAACTGCATTGCCTTTCGGTGAAGCCCTGGCCGTGCTTGAAGTTGTCATGTTGCATGATGTCACGACCAGTATAGTGCAGCCTTGCCGACATGTAGCTGCGTCTCATATTCTGCATGCCGTCCACAGTCGAAGCCATTGGGCAGATTTCCATCATTGTCACAATGGATATCCTCAAGTTCGATGCTAAGCATGAGCATGAGCCCTAATTTGAGGGACCGCCGCAAGGTCAAGAGCACAAGGAGTGCAGACATGATGGCTAAGACTCCTTCCAATCGTTTGCCCCAACAGTTGGGTCTACCACACAGCTGCGTCTGGGACTCCCGTCAAGGTTCGATTGAGGGACCTTTGTTCCGAGCCCCAGACCTGCGTGAGGAATGCGAGAGGATCGACTTCGAGCAGGAAGAAAGTTTCGAAGTGGCATGTTGCAAGAAGAATTTTTCGGCGACGCATTCACGGCAATTTCGACCAACGAGCACATCAATGTAATCATGCTGTTCCAACTATGAAGGTCAGGACTGCTTTTTCACCTGACAGACAAGCCCAGTCGTTCGCACAACTGTTACGGATCTACGCGAGAGCACTTGAAGCTGTGAGGGCTCGAGGCAGAATATCATGGAAGAAGACAGAAATGACCAAGACGTTAACAGCCAGGCTGCGCATCTCAAGATCGACAGTCGGCGCGACTCTTCTCGTGTCGTGTGCAAATATCAGAGTCCTCTGGCTTTGTGCCTTGAACACGGTCCGGCAACTGAAGTTGTCGATGACTGGGCGTACGATTGCTGCAGAAGGTGTGTGTCTGTGTGTGTGTGTGCGTGTGTCAGATTCTGTGACACTAAGGAGTTGGCATGCTAGACTGTCGCGGTAACTAAAGTCCTGTTCTGGAGAGCGGTGAGAAGTTCATAGCAGAAGCAGCTGAACAAGTTAAGAGAGTGGACAAGCATGAAGATTGATTTTGGAGTCGAGCAGCGTAGCAGACCATGGACCGTATGGCTAGCTCGGCGGCTTGGGAGACGCCCCGCGAGACATGTTTGGTCCCCGTCCACTACCGGATGTCCTGACGGAGCCTGGAGCCTCCGCCTTGGCATTCACCCTCCTTCGGGTGGACCGGCAATGCGTTACAGCCGCGACAGATGTGATGTCACAGACGTCCTGCAGACATGAAGACCCTCCTGGCATTGCATGGCTTTCAGATTCTTCTACGCACGATTTGTGACCCCCGCGGCCCCCCAAGCAGTTCCCTGGCCATGCCTCTTCTTGGAAGACACTGGACGTCCTACTCGACAGCCGGCAGAATCGCCCTGTCGCATTGGACGCTCCGCTTTTGGCGCTTTGAACTTGCGGTGTCGCATGCGATGTGCACGTGGGCATAGATTGTACGATCGTGGTCCATGGCTGGGCGTGGAGCTTGCGTGTCAATGTGCTGCATGTTGCTGCAGCTGAATAGATTGACCAAACACACGGAGACTGAGTATTGGTACAGTCTTATAGTCTAACATGATAGCATGTTATGGCACCCGCAACACCACCAACCGGGTACTAGAAGCCAAGGGCAGCCCGCATGTTGCACATCCAGCGTCAAGCTTCGGTACAAGTCGGGGTGGTCAGGGAACGGTGGGTGCAACACGGTACAAAGAAGCGCCAGCGGGCGAGCTTGTCCTCGGACGAGTTTTTTCCTCTGTTTCATGTTGTCTCAGTGGAGTTATGGACTCCTGCTTAAGCACATTTCACCCCCACCCGGCAAAGCAACATGAGCTGACACCGACAGGTGTCATGTCCAGCCACGCTCGTTCAATGCAGCTGTTGGACAAAAGCAACTGCCAGTGGATTCGATGAGGGGGCAACTAACACACGGACCACACGGACTGGCCCAATCGGCCATTGGAAACTCGTCCTATGGCATGCTGACTAACTAACTAACTTTGTTACGGTGCAGGCAGCCCCCAAATGGACAGGACACCACTGTCCTATATGCCGCTGCGCTGTGTGTATGGGTGTCAGTCAAATCTCCGAAGCTTCCATCCTCACTACACGCTTGAGCACGGAGGCGGCCTTTACCCATGAAGTGCTGTCTAGACGTATGGCATGCCGAAGAAGAGCATTGGTTGTCGTTCCTAAGTGCCGTCATAAATGCAGGACGAGGCACCAGGCATCAAGTCACAACAGCGTGTTGCGCTGAGGAGTGAACAACATCCCCTTTCTCATCACTAGCACTAGCAACATCACCAGCAGCAGGATCGACACTGGCATTGTCCTTCTTTTTCTTCCCCTGTCGCTAAGTTCAGTGCATGCGTTGTTGTCACGACAGACTTTCCATCGTCCCCTTTGTTTACGTCTGCATCAACGACTTTACCACATGTTCTCACCATCACCACCATCATCACCATCATTACCATTAACCTGGTCATCATCATTATGATGATTGCCATCGGCACCCCCCATCCTCATCATCATCGTCACCACCATCACCACCACCATCACCACCACCATCACTACCGCCGCCAGCAGCATTATCACCCTCATCAAAACAAGAATTGCGAACATAACCATTATCATCACTACCATCATCGTCATCATCATGACCACCGTCCTCAGCTTCATACTTAGTAGGCTTCGGCAAAATGCCAGCAGATCAATTAGCATTTCGTCATCGTCATGAGGCAGCGGCTGCAGCAGGTCAGTTCTTAAACCACAGTGCTGCTGCGTGCCAGCCTGCTGTTGTCTTGTCATTGTGCAATTCTGAGGCCCGCGCCCGATACATCTCTGCAGACACTTGCGCGTGTCACCAAGACAGATTTGCTTCTGGGTGATTTTGGATCAATGTACGACCGCAAACCGAAATCTTCAGTACGGACTACTTGGAAGCCAGGTTACGGTTGGTCTGATTCCAGCTCTACCCCAAACCTTTCATTGAGGATTCGTGAGAGGCTGCCCGAACAAACTGATAGAGTTATGCTCGGGTTCCCGGAAAGCTTCGTCGTCGCAAAGGAAAGGAAGTATGCAGGAAGCAAGGTGGTTGTACGACTGGCCAGGGGCGGAACTCAAGTTTCCCTGTGTGAGCGGCCTGGCTAAGAAGTTGAGCCGAAAGCTTCCGACCGAGAGACCAAGGACAACCAAACCCATTAGAACAAAAGCGTTCTGTACCAGCATTCAATACAGTTTCGGCCCTTGAAGCCTTCAAGCGCTAACAGCCCTGCATCCTGGTATTAATGTTGAAATATATATTTCCAAGTCAAAGGGTTTTCGGGATTGGTTCAGGGTCTTCTCGAGCCTCCGCGGTCTGGGCTTTCGGTTTCTTGTTTTCCAAAGCATGGGCTTTGATGTCTGGCTTTGGGGACTCGGGCGTGGACGTTGGCAGGGGTCTGGACTGTCAAGAGCTGCCAAGAGATACGTACAAGTGCTAGTATTTTTTCTGAGTCTCCCCAGGCACTGGGACTAATTCAGGAATTTGGAACATTGCCTTTAGCGTTTGGCTCAAACGACTGTTTGACCAAGTAAGCATCAGCGGAAGACGCAGCCGACACTTCGCCGCGCCTGAGCGATGCATCTCCCAGGACGGTTTAGTTTAGGGCCTCGTTGAATTCAGGATCTCTCCGGAAAGCTGCGCAGGTTTGGGGCTGAAAGAAAGCCTTGGGACACCGCGACAAAATCCAGGGGCAGTTCCAAGCGACATTGCACATCCTACATGAAAAGCTGAAGTCATCAATGCTGGACTTTAGGCTCCTACATTTACCGTTATTTCTATTTCCAGGAAACGAAAGTCAAGCGCCCAGAAGATTTCGCATAATTCTGCGAGAACGGTATGTCGTATGTCGAGTCGGTCGGTGATTGACCGGAGTTCAACGCTGCTTGTTGAACCGCAAAGAATGAGGTCGGGAGGAGGAAGAGGAGGAGGAGGAGGAGCAGAGGAAAAGCCCCTGACAGTACTCAAGCAGTGAAAGGACAGATGACCGTTCCAGAGCACTCGCCGGAGCTTAGCGATACTCGGGCCGGTACGCGTCCAGTCCCTGCTCCTTGGCATGACAATTTTACGTGTTTGAGTCTCGGGTAGATGTTCAATCCAGGTTCTCAGTTTATTGACTTCCCCTCCCGGACCTAACGTACTTGGAGGATTTTGGAAGAGGGTTTTGCAATATACCTCTGGGGGTTCCAAGTGAATTTCCGGCTGTTCCTATGGGCCCTGGTACATATATTCTCCGTTGGAGAGCAAGTGCACTTGGGGTTTTCGGCCATGGCCCCCGGAGCACTGCTGCGTTGGGCCTCAATGTGTGTAACCCAAAGCTTTGTGATGATCGACTGAAGGCTTATGGTTTCAATTTCGAAGCCGCAAAACTCCAAGGATCGCACACTCAAAGACTGTACTGGGAAGTAGCAGGTGAATAGTGAGGTCACTGTTATTCCTGGACTCTGAGGTGGAAAACATCTACCCAAAAGGAGTCCCCGGTGGCTTCAGCGCACTTTGGCCCAAATGATTTTTGCGTGCGCTCACAATCATCGGTACAGGCATCGCCAGCAATGAGCTGACTATTCTGCTCGCTGCTGATACATGTGCTTGGTCTGTTGCATTGGCATGCCATGCCGGTTTGGTGGCTTGCTGATGCCGTCAGGTCCCATTCAGAATACAGCATGCCGGCGATCTCAAGTACGTTGTGCTTACATTGCTCTTGGTGTTCATCTTGTCGCTACCATTTCCAATGCCAGCTCGTGTTTCTACTGCTGCTGGTGCTTGGCACAGCCAGTTCGCAAATACAGTGGCGGTTTCATCAGAGGTGTGAGAATTGGTTAGGGCGGCCGCATAGTGCATTCGCGTGGCGGGGGGCTGCTCGGGACGCGGCTCCAGCTGTGCCGCGGTGCTTACTTTGTGCTCGAGCCCTACTTGTATCATTGCACAGCATCCGTCGGACACTGTCCACTGGACGGATTCCTGTTCAATTCCAGTTCACTTTGGTCCCGCTAGTGCTTTGGCCGTTTTCCTAAATTCCACCAGAATGTGGGGAGAAGCAGTAGTCCTGAATCCCGTCAGTGGGCGTTTCTCTGAATCCACAAGGGAAGCATCTCGGCAGTGTTCCTGAATCCCGCTAGTAGATGGGGGTCCCCTGCCGGTCTAGTGGTGGTCTCGTGGTGGTAGTAGTCGTCGGGGTCATGGTGGTGCTCCATGATGGTTTGTTCACGTTTTTCCAGTTGCTGATGCGCACGGTTTGTATAGACCGCGTTCTACTCTTATGTGCGATCATTCGCCACAATGCAGAGGCATTCACACGCTAGTGAGCTAGCGTGGATACTGCCTGTTTGCCGACTTGAACTCTGGCACATCCGTTTGCCTGAGGTGCGAGCCGCGGATGCAATTGCCCTTGCTTCGGCCGCATCTGTTGGAAGACGGCGCTTCAGAAGTCGGAAGAGCATAGACTTGAACCTGGACGAAGGCCGGATCTGAGAAAGGAATCCTGCTTCTGCTTCCACATTTTCACGCAGGTTAAGGGCTTTGGCCTAGGCTTCGGCTTCAGGACTTCAGCGGCGTTTCGGTATGGTGTTTCGCACTCATAGAGCAGACTTCGGAGCAGCTTTTCCCGTCTACACGGGGGTGTGAGACCAACCACAACACAGGTTGGAGAAAATTGGATCTGGGTCGGCCAAAGCTATATCTCCGTGAACCTAACCGCTAAAGTTTGAGGCTCAGGTCCTTTGGCATTGGTGGGTTCTGAACCTCTCAATCTATGCTTTGATGGTGGCAACAAAGCCTCAGTTTTGGGCGTGATGGAACAAAGTTATCGTTCCTTCTTCATGGGTTGGGATCCTTGATGTCATAAGATGCCATGGCAGGTGTACTTGGAAGCCTGTTCACAGATCAAACATATTCAAACATCCCCCATCGTGAATCTAAGCAACCCTGAACTTGAACCAACCCGCCCACCGAGAGTCCAAGCTAATCTCCCGGTCGACGCAGAAGCTTCAAGTGCGGGAGCTTCGCCACAAGCATGTTCCCAAGACAAGAGGAACACCAACACACTGCGACATTCGTCTAGGTACGGTTTGTTGTGGCGAAGGACCCACCGATCGACGGTGGAGTCTCAAAGTATGGAGTTAAACACCGAGTAAAATCCTCGTGGGCAGTGCGGAGACTTGTGCAGCTTCATTTGTGCTGGCTGCTCAAGCGGCATTGCCGAGCAGTAACTCTCTGGTCTGGGTTCTCCGTTTTTCTGTATCAACTGAAGTATGGCAGTGCCAGCAGCATAGTCAAGTTCTCTATGCCCGCAAGGTTCACTAGGGTCTGCAACATGGACAGCGATCCTTCGTGTGCTTATGGCTTTGCCTTCAAGCTGCACTTCCGGACTTTCCGGCAGATTCGACTCGAAGGTTTGTCGGCTTTTCATACATGTCTTGGAGGTTCCAGCAAATGGTTTTCGCGTTCATGAAGCCGCAACTGCTCACTTCGTGTAGACAGTCCATGCCGAAGAGCGCAAGGAGGCTGTTGAAAAGGGCAATGTTTGAATGTTCGTGTTTTGTGTTGGTTCCGTTGCCTCGTTGGGTTTTGCTGCTAAGTTTCAATCTACGATTGAGATCTGTGCAGTATCCGGGCTGAGTGGAGATTAGCCGTGAACGTGGGATGGAAGGCCCAGCATCCAGAGCTAGAAATGCGGAACCCATATCCTGGGTCGAATTAGCACGGTCCTATCCCATCGTCTTTCCAGTCAGGCCCAGCAAAGTTATCACCGACTAGTGGTCTCTCAAGTCTTTCCCAGTGCCTACCCATCCCGCCCAGGACGGTGCTCTTTCTGTTGATGTCGGCGATGTGGTCTGGCAGCCAGGCCCGTTCCGGAAGTTTGAGGATGTGAGCATGCTCCCGGGTTTTGGTCATCCTGAAGCCGCGTCAAGAGTGGAATCCAGAAGACCATGGCACGTTCCTTGTGGTAGTAGTCCATTTATTCTGCTCAGCGGGCAGAATCTGTACCTTTAGCTTGGGTTTTTACCCTGCGGTGGGACGAGTTGATGCTTGGCTGGGGTTTGGCACCTTGAGGACGCGCCCGATTGAAGACCTTCTCTTGTGACTGTCGATGCTGTTGTGATCTGTTGCTGACCTCCCAGCTTGCCCGGCTTTTCGTCGTCTCAGCGCCCCGCAATCTGTTGAGGCAGCTGCTTTTCGTGTCAAGCCATGCTGCACGTTCTTCGCCGGTCTAGGGTTTCGGTTTTGCTCAGCGTTTTGCTTGAGACCGCTGAGCCCTTGCGCCTGGCTTGTCTGTCAGGTTTGGTTTTATGGGGAAGGTGGTCTTAATGACCTGTCTCGATTACCCTATGCCATGACCCCATGCTCGAATGGGCAATGTCAGGAGCAGCTGGACCATGCCGCCCTCGCCTTTCTAAGCTGGGTAGCGCTACGCCGGCTTCTCCCAAACACCGCTGCTGTCGAGGCACGGCTCAGGGCTACAAGGTTCGGAATTGGAGTTGCGAACGCATCGGGTCCTTCCTTCACCTCGAGGCAGAAGCACTGCGACCGAAACTTCAGAGCGTAGCCGGCCTTGAAGACGAAGGTTGAGTGTTTACGGTTTACCGACAGGGACCAAACCTTCGAATCACACCCTTCGCATCACTTCGCACGTGCTGCAGATCGGTCTGGGTTTGTGCCGGGGACAAGCTGAAGCCCTCAATCACAGCGATCCAGCGATCCATGCAAGCAAGTCAGTTTTGCACAACCGGACCGAGCAAGCTCAACGGCTGCTATGAGTCCGCCCCGTGTGTGGTCGCCTCATTGCGCTGCACCTTGAATGTGGCCCCGTCGTGCTTCCTGTGGTGATGCTCCGAGTCCTTCCTTGTCTCAGATGCAGCATCTGAGGATTCGGTTTGGGAGAATAGATGCTCACGGATAGCTCAGTACATCATTTGTGAAATGGTCCTGAGATCGACTCAGGCTTGGGTTGATGTGAAGTCGTTTGGCTATCTGAATTGCAGTCCATGTGTTTGAGGTTGCGGGATGACATCTGATGACGGTGTAGAGTTGAGGTTCGATGTAGCCATCTTGAAGTGGCTTACGGTCGCTTTTCGTGATCGCGAGGCGAAGCAGTTCGTGGCCTGTAGTATTTATGGAGACTCGTGTGGCACGCGACGACAGTTCATTGACCCTGCCAAAATCCACTCAAGTCTGCCGATGAAAGCGAGAGCCTGCAAACTCGAGCTGGTGTCGTCCAAACTTCCAGGCCACAGATCCAAAACCATGCAAAGGCCCAGGAACTGTGATGCTTGAACTGCGAAGCGCTCAAAGCCACCATAGCCTCCAGCAGCACGCGGGAGGCCTGCCGCCCCAAGACGGTCAAGGTCTCTGGGGTGGAGCCCCTTGCCGAACCCTGCACCCCGTAATCCGACGAAGTAGCCCAGATATCTTTCTGGGTATGGAATGGTTGCCCTACATAGATCGTAAAACCCTGGCCTCCATAGCTGCCGGACTTGGTCGGGTCGAGGCTCCTCGTTGAGTAGGTCAGTACGACGCATTCACGCAGGAAGCTCGGAACCTTCGATAAGCAATCCCTATCCCATACCCCACCGTGAAATCCGAAGACCCGCCCCTAGATTTCACCTGTAGGCCCCTCGAATATCCTTAAATCTGTAGAGATCCCAGCCTCGCCAGATTTCGGCGTCCAGGTCCCAACGCCACAGCCACGTCCAGTCCTCTAAGCTGTAGAAGGGAGCTTCGACCCACGGAGGTCCGCCCTTAGAGCGTGAAATCCCTTCGTCAAGTTTTGCGGATTCTACACTCTAGGGGAAGACGGGTGAGTGTCACGGGTGCCCGGATGGCGAGCCGACCGGCGAGCCTCGGGTCTATCGGGCGTGTTTGGATTTCGTAGGAAGCAATTAGCAGCTACAGCTATTCGCCAGCTTGCTTAATTCCAGCTTGCTGCAGCGACGTTTATTCCTTGTCTTACTCCTACTCCTACTGCAGTTCTTCCGTCCTGAGAGACCCTAAGCTCTGAGAGGGAAGGGAACTCAACTCACACGTTCTAGTACACACTCGATCTTGGGGATAGTCTTTAAATTCTGCGGGAGAACGAGACGTGTTAAGTAGTAATTGAACCTCTTGGATTCCAGTTCAAGTTCAAGTTGGCGGATTTCTCACATATTTGCGCCCGCTTTCAACTTCCCAGCAGAGACAGTAACAGTGAGAAAGCAGAGTTGCAATTGGTGTAAAGCGAGGTTTCGTTCTGCAAGAGAGATCGGGGATTGCTGCAGCCGGCTCCGAATTCTCGAACAAGTGCATACAGGTAACAAGCTTTTAGCCCGGATGGGCGGAGTGCGCCAATTGCACAGGAATCTCTTTTACTCCCCATCTCTGGACCAGGATCCGGGGTTTAAGCTGCATCCGCGAAAGAAGGCTGATGTAAAGGAAGCTAACACCCAGTCCCTAGACTCCCACGATCGGGTGGAAGGCGTCGTAACATAAGGGCACTCCGACCAAGAGAATTTGTTGCAAGCGACGGCCTACACTTCTGTACAGCAAGCTAGCCTGAGGCGGTGGGCCAAAGCTTTTTTAACACATACTAGGGACGACCCCGTGACCTCTTCCTTGTGAACGACACGCCACTATATAAACTTGATGGCATCCCTGGCTCTCTAAGTTGATACAGCCATAACAGAAGAGTATGGTTTGGGGCAGCGCGCAGTGGTTTTGATGTGGTTGGGAAATCTGGTTTCCTTTGTCACTCTGGCGACGATTTTCGGGTAGTGTCTCCGATTGGTGTGGCAGTAGCCGTACCTTTGTCTGCAGCAAGTCAGTGGGACCATCATCGCGTTCATCATCATCACCGTCAACCACGTCATCATCAGCATGTGGAGTATTCAGTACCACCTGAAGCACCAGCAGCATGCGGCATGAGCATGTTCATTTCCGCCATCTTCAGCATGCGGAGTTAAGCTTTCTTCAGCCAGTCACCAACGGTACTGTACCGCCATCTTTGTGTGGAAGCTCACAAGCTGGTTCACATTGACATTCCAACTCAATTGCGAAGCCCGACTTCCATGACTCATGAGTCGCCCACCACGGAGCAGGTGTTCAATCATCGATCCCTCCAAGACCCGGGACCCAAGAGTACCAAATTATGCCCTCAGAACAGAGGCCGAAAGATCAACGAAAGGCTTGCATCATGCCGGAAAGCCGCATCGCAAACGGGGGCGCCCCTCTTTGGCTCATCCCATCGCCGAGGGCGGGCTTCAGGGCCAACTCTCGTCAGCCGTGCTCGGCATGCCGCCCTTTGCACGGAGAGTCCGGTGACGTAGGCCAGAAGTAGCCGCAGATGTCAATTTTCCACGAACATGCCCACCAAATCCTTGCTTGTGTTGGCCCTTGGGTTTTTGCAGTGGTGACAAGAGAAACCGGGTGGACGGACATGGAGTTCCTTTGCAGCCGAAAGCAATCCTGCAAGTTTCCGGGTTTTTCCTCGAGTAGAATAGCCATGACAGGGTGTGCCATGTCAATGGGAGTGCAAGTCAGAAGCTGAGGCAGTTAAGGGATTGCAGGCCGGGAGTTTTCATAGGCTGAGTCTTAACATATCCGCGAGAATTTTGAGCATCAATCATGCACTCGTAGCAGGAACCAAAACCATAGCATGTTCAGGGGCCCCCGTTTGATCTCATCACATCTTTGGGCTCAAGAGAATGTGATGTTTCCTGTAGGTTATCTAAGGCGTGAAGAGCTTCGCTTGTCACTTGTCATCTTGCGGCTTCAGTGTTGGGCTTCGAGATTTTGACTCGTCGGGGTTTCCGGAATGCTTTTGTTGCTCCCGACGCCGGGAATCATCTAAAACTCCAAGCCGGAACTCTTGATGCAGAGGGAGACGCTGCCCTTGCTCGACTGTGGAGCTGAAAGGCTCCTGCCACGTCTGAGGTGTAAACAGCCACCTCTCACCAACCCACGGGATCCGCGGCGAGACCCTCAGAGGAGGTTCCGGGCTCTGAATCGGCTCACTAATCCGAGCCCCAAGCCCTAAAACAAGTCCTGGACTGCCTAAACCTAGATTGGCGCACCTCTGGCTGAGAGTTCTGCTTGCCAGCATGTCTGGCGTTTCTCTTGCCCGTGGATTCGTGCAATTTGCTTGACGCACCATGTCGGATTTAGGGATCGGGCTTACGGCTGACCGGCCGCACAAATCATCATGTAGTGTATGTATGGCAGTCGTCACCTGGCCGCAATGATCAGGCTGACGGCAATAGCATCATTAGCCAAGCAGTATTGAAGAACACCAGTCCATCCAGAACAACAGTCGTTCTGCTTGAGAGAACACATCGCAGTAGTGACGAGGTTGGCGGTTGGTGTGATGGTCACAGTAATGACCAGTAAGCAGCTATCAAAATCATACGTTGTTTGTCTGACAATCATGGCGAGGACGAGGAGGAGCAGGACGACGACGGCTACTGCTACTGCTGCTGCTACTGCTTCCGCTACTGCTCCTCGTCCTCCTCCTACAACTACGACTGCCACTAGTAGACGACCGTGTGACTACGACTCACGAGAACTGCTACTCCAGCTGCTAGTGTTACTGCTTCTGCAGCTGCTAACTGCTACCGGTACTGCTACTGCTGCCAGTAATACTACTACTCAAAGTACTGTCACTACTGCTACTACTACTACTACTACTACTACTACTACTACTGCTACTTCTACTTCTACTTCTACTTCTACTTCTACTTCTACTTCTACTTCTACTTCTACCTCTCCTACTACTACTACTACAACAACTACAACAACAACTACTACAACTACAACAACAACTACTACTACTACTCCTACTACTACTACTACTACTACTACTACTACTACTACTACTACTACTACTACTACTACTACTACTACTACTACTACTACTACTACTACTACTACTATTACGACTACTACTATTACTACTATTACTGCTGCGGGTGCTGGTACGGCTGCTACTACTGCTGATGTTGCTGTTACGACGACTATTGCGAGTACGACTACGGTTACCGCGACGAAGACGACCGCGACTCCTACTTCTACTTCTTCCTTTGCTGCTGTTGCTGCTACAACGACGACTATGGCGAGTACGACTACGGCTACGACGGCGACGACGACTACTACTTCTACTTCTTCCTCCGCTGCTGCCGCTGCTGCTACTACTGCTGCCGCTTTAGCTGCTGCTCCTAGTCCCATTTTTGCCCTACACGCTTACGTGTTCCTTTATTGCTCGCGGCCCTGTCAAACTATCAGATGTCAAAGTGTCTGTTTGGGGCTCGGGTGTTCGGCTGGGGTTGGTGTGGTAGGGTGGAGTCTTATCAGTCTGTGAAGCCATGGATGCGCCAATCCCTAAGCCACAGCAGATTTTTCAACTCGTCAGTACTTCGTAGGCAGTAGCTCGAGGAGTACAGGAGTACAGGGCTTCCATTTGGAGCCCAGATGGCTTCGACCGCAAGGCTCCAAGGCTTACACACGTCCTTTAAGCCGTACATCCACCAGTGCTTCTCCCAGAGCCCCAAACCTGAAATACGCACACGACAGGTCAACATT